TGAAAAAATAACTTCTTCTCAATAAAAAAAATCTCTATGTTTATGTTAAAAACAACTTTTTTCCACCTCACTTCCTTCAAACTAATTAAAAACAAAAAATTAATAAGAGTTTCCAAAAGAACATATCAGAAAAATTAAAGTTAAATTAGAAGAATACTATAGAAAAAATAGCAGTTACCATTATTATCTTTCTCTTTCATTTTCATCTTTGTCTTCTTTCTTCCATATCTTCATTTGCTTCTCCAAAATTTTTTTTCCTCTCAATCTTTTTTTTTGTTCTTTTTATATCTAATGAGTAGAATATAAAATGGGGAGAGGAGATTTATTGGTTTAGAAACCGCATAGAAATTATGAAAGATGAGGAATAATAACTAACTAATAAAAAAATCGATAGAATCAATTTATTAGGAACAAAATTAGAAATAAGAAAGACTACACCAAAAGTGTGTTTTGCCTTTATATATTGTTATAGAATATATTGTTATAGATTAGCGGACAGACAGACACTCAAGATTAGCAGTGTCTGTCCGTTTTTTATAATACCCACGCGCGTAAAATATAAATCATATTATTATTTTTATTTAATTTTCATTTTATTATTTATAAAATAATAATAAACAGATAATAGTATAGAAGTTAATAAGCCATCAAATAACCACCATTTGTTAGAAAGAGAAGTTAATATTTAAAATAAAAATTAAAAAGTATATATTTGAAAGAACAAAAACTACACCAAAATCATGTTTCAAACCGCACTACTTAGTTAATTAAGATCAAATGAATATATATTTATTTATTCTTATCATTCTAGTGTTCAGACGGACACTCTAGTGTCTGTCTGTCCACTTTTTTTAATGCTAAGACGTTTAAAAATATAAATATATTTTTTGTGTGTTTATTTTTTAAATTTAAATTTTATATAAAAAAATTGAATGAAATAGTTGTAAAAACTATCATATAACAGTTAATAAAAAAGTAGTTAGTAAAAGAATATAATTAGAATAAAATAGGCAAGGTAAAATATGATTTTGGTGTAACTTTTTTTTCCTTACAAATATATCCTTTTCAGTTTTTTTTAAATAGTAACTTCTCTTTCTAACAAATAGTGGTTAGGTGTCTGCTTGTTAAAATTTACACCATTATCTATTACTTCTATTTTATAAATAATAAATAATAAAATAAAAATTAAATAAAAATAATAATATAATTTATATTTTAATCGGGTGAATATTATAAAAAGCGGATAGACGGGCATGTGCCCATCTGGACACGGATAAATAGTAAATTCAATGTAAAAAAAAAGTTTTTAACATCTTGATTACCACATAGTGAAAGTCAAGAAACAAATTTTGAACTTCAAATTTAAAAGAATTGAACCATTGAATCAAGGAACGTGGGTCCTACAATTTTTCAAGTCATTTTTTATGCCTTTTCTAATCCGCATTTTCCCGAGAACTCTCTTTCTCTCTCTGCATGTCTTTAATTTGAAAAAGAGCTATGCTATTTCAAATTCTCGTTCCACTTACAGACGCGCATTCTTCATTTATTACACACTTCGTTGAAAACCCGGAACCCACCCAAAATAATTTCTTCATCTTCTCTCTGATCAATTTATCGTTACATTTCAGGTATATTTCTCTTCAATCTTCATTCTAGCTTTTTTGTATCTGTGATTCTTCTATTTTTTTAGTTTTATAATTACTACTCTGATTAAGGTTCGACTTTTGTGTCGTTCATAGTTTTTATATTTTGGGATTATTATTTGTGTTTTTGGTAGATCTGTTTCATGTTTGATTTTGAATACGTTAGGGTTTTAATTACCCTGTGTTTGTGAATGAATTGCACGGTTTCTTCTGTTTAAGGTTTGTGTTTGGTTTTTTTGCTTAGGTTTTTTTTGGGCTGGTCAATGGGATGGTATTTGAATTGTCAATGTTTAAAATTAGTGTCTTAGAATGAGTCCCGTAAAGGCTTTTGCGATTTCGGTTTGGATAGGTGCTGTGATACTAATTGAGATCATCACAGTTTGAATTAATCACAATTTTTTTCATCATAAAAACGGTGAATAACTGTTTGGGGCACCTTTTGATCCTATTTTGTCGCAACCATTTTGGCACTAACAGTCCATTTTTTAAAACCTTGGTTAGAGTTTTACATTGTGTGTACGTGTGCTTGTTTTTTGTTTCTCTGACTTCAATTTATTTTTGTTCTGTGGTATGTTTGGTATAATGTGTGTTGACTTTCATGAGAAGAACACATAATACTAATGAAAATTTAGTAATGTGTTTTCTTTTGGGAAATTTATTTTAGATTGCTTTCTAGTTTCTAGTGATATGGATATTGAGTTGGTTTTGATGATTGCCAGGCGCCGATCATTTGATTCTCTCCTTTATCAGATCAATGTGTCTCTGTAGTTTGATTCTTGAGGTTTAGGTTTGTTTAGACCACACTTTGATTACTCCAAAGTGTTTTCGACGGGGGGAAGGTAAAAAATCTGCCGTATAAAGATACTACTGCGGCCTATGGTGTAACCATGGTGGGCATTCTTTCACAAATTGCACTCATGACAGTAATAAAATAATCTGCTATGCCATTCTGCCATACAAACACACTATTGCAGCCTATCAAGCACAGGCACAGACACCTCTGAAAATAAATAGGTGTTAGAGTCTGCATCTGTGTTTGTCTAGGACACCAACACCGACACTTGTGATTACATTCAATTATTCTTTTTTTAAAATTATTACCGGTGACGTGTCCTGTGTCCGTGCTTCATAGATTGCGGCCTATGGTGCCACCATCTTGAGCGACCTTTCACAAATTTCCTATGGCAGTTGCCAAAAGATCTGCCACGCCTTTCTGCCATAATGACACCATGGCCGCTATTTAAAAACACTGTTTTCTGGTAGGCAGACTGTTTTTGACACTGAGTGTGTTTCACGGCATTCATGTTCTTCCTTTGCATCTATCAACATGCAAATTCTATGGTCAATGATGTGCAGCGACAAAGATAACAAGCCAGCCTTATTTTATCGGATGATGTTTCATATGACAAAATTCAATGCTTAGGAAGGGGACAATTTAGGATCCAAGTGTTTCTTTGCCGTCTTTATACCCTTGTCTTTTTTCTATCCCCTTGAGTACCAATTCAGTGACCATATGCCTGCAAACTTCCACGTTTGACCTGGTCATGTTAATCAACACACATTATTTTTCGTCTTTGTCCAGTTTTTTTGGGTTTATTTATTCATGGCTAATCAGGACTGGTCAAAGCTAGAAAAACTATATTAATCATAGTTACCCCTAGGAATATTTTTAATATTAATTTTAAATAGAAGTTACGTAGAAAGTTAATAGTAGGAAGCTAGTTAAAAAGTTAATAATAAGTTATGTGAAATATTATAGTAGTGGTTAAATTGGAAGTTATTGGGTAAATAACAAATTAAAGTAGGGATAAAATTGGTAGAAAAATAGGCTACACCAAAACATCATGTTTTGGCTTTATATATGTTATAGATTATGTGAAATATTATAGTAGTGGTTAAATTGGAAGTTATTGTGTAAATAACAAATTAAAGTAGGGATAAAATTGGTAGAAAAATAGGCTACACCAAAACATCATGTTTTGGTTTTATATATATGTTATAGATATATAGATTATAGATAGATTCGTTTTTAAAAATTAGATGACAAAGGAAGTATAACAAACACACAGAGTAAGAAATCAACCTCAAATTTTCTCCCTCCAATACCCATAGTGGCCGCTCCCATTTTCCGGCTTCCCTCCGGCCACCATGCTCACCGTAATAAAAAATATTGCATTTCTTCCTCCGCAGCAGTAACGCCCATTCCGGCCACCGCGGTTTGTTTATCTTCTTCATCTTTACCTCAACAATAAAACCTAGGAATTTGAATTTGTTGTTTCCGCCGCCGTTTTACCGCCGCTCGCAGCTACCGTTGTCGTCCTCTCATCTTTTTCATTGCTTTGGTAAGTTGGAACCTAACACTCACCTGATTACTTTACCAATTCATTTCCCCCAAATTCTATTGAACCCTAATTCTATAATTTCAATTTCAATTTTTACTTATAATAATTTAATTTGTTTATTTGATGAACGCAATTGTGCTTGAAGATTCAAAATTCGGAATTGATAAAAAAAACATAAATTCTAAGTTTTTTTAATGAAACGTAGAAGTCTTTTATGGCTATTAAGAGGGGTTTATGTTTATAATATATGTGTAGGATCATTTTTTTTTTGCGTTAGATGTTGATATTGGAGTTTAACCAACTCTAAAGAATTGTAGTGTATGTATAGGAGAAAGCCATATATTTTAAATGATAAGCATGTCCTGGAAACAAACAAAAAAATGTAATTACTTGATATTGTTGAGATCCTTAATCTCATTTCTGTTTGCAGTGAGTTGCCAGCCGGTCTCTTTGATGCCACGACCGCCTCAGGTTTGAGACTTTGATTTCTAATTTTACTTGATTTTTGAACTCTAGAATAGGTTTTGTTATTGTTTGATTTTGAAGTGTTTCTTAACATCATTGTACTGGAATGGGGTTCTGTCTCTGTTCATTTTGTCTTCTTTAGTTTTATTTCTGATGTTACTTTATCTAAATTTTTCTTAACTTAGACGTTTTAGCTTCTCTTGCTATTCACAATTTTGTGTCTTTTTTTAATAACTTGAAAGTATGAAATTTACAAGTTGTGAATTTATTGTTGAATTTTAGGGTAATATACTAGTTCATGTAAATGACTGAGGATAGGAATGAGATGAAGATTGTCCTAGTATTATGACATTAGATTTCAAAGAAGTTTGTTATTCTAATAATGAATAATGTGAGGTGTAAACTGAAGTATACAATCCTTGCTTTATATTTACGATACAAATATTGATAAAGTAATTGAATTATTAATTATATTTAAACTATAGTCTCTGAGATTATCTAAAGTGGAATCTAAGTAGAGTAAATAATTGTTGGATTTGTTTATTTCAGGATGGTTGAATTTTCAATAAGTAATGCTAGATATAATTATGTGCATGATCAGAAATATCCCTCTGAAGATGTTGACATACACCATATAGTTCTGAAGAGGAGTGGTGCAAAATATTATTTTGTGTATGCCTCAGCACTTCTTGTATTAGCATGTGGCTTTTATCTGTATGTTTTTGAGGTATGTCTTCAAACAAAATTTCTTTGTCTGTGACTTGAGGATTTTGAAAATTGTGACTTTTTCCTTGCTTCTTTCTTTTCTACTTGTCTATCTACCTTCTATTGACAGGAAAAATCGATTAGTCTTGTGTATTACAGCTTGCTTTTTGACATACTTCTTGTCAAGTTGTTACTTCAGAAGCCTGTTAATAAAGGTGAGCACCTAACTAAAGGGGCTTGTGATGCTTTGAAAGGTTTATTTTCACTGTAAACCAGGAAAAATAAATCTAAAATGCATGTTTTATTTTAAATCTCGGCTATTTTGACAATGTTGTCATTTACTTGCAGAGTCTGTTGTGATTATGCCAGCTTTTGGTGTACAGCTTGAGACTCATTATACGAGGTAAAATTTTTGTTAATCAGTTGTTTCGTCAACAATCAACATTATGTTAGGACACATGAAAAGCTTAGTCTAGAATTATATAGCTTGTTTTGTAAATTGTAAATGATTGTGCATTTCATAACTATTGTCTTTCAAAGAAAAGGTTGGGGCATTGGAATGCTGGTGCTAGTACAGGGTTCTTTAGTCAGTTTGTAGGATGCAGATTCATTGCAATCAGGAAAATGTCGCATTCATTCAGTCTAGATATCTCCACCATTTGATTCATCCAATGGTCCACATTATTTCTTTTTCGCTTCAGTCTTAAACCACAGAAGGAGTCATCCAACAGTCTGTATTGTTTGTTTTGCTCTCATGCACACACCTTTCTCTCTCCCCGAACATTGAGGCCACCTCTAGGATCAGATGATATTCACACGTGCCACAACACCACCTTTTGAGCACACCTGTTTCCGTAATGGTGTTCCCAAAAGATCCAATCTACAGTTACGAATTTCATCATCTTCTATGACAGAGAGTATAGTAGGAACCAATGCTACAGAATTTGGGATGAATTTTTCCCTTCTCCTCTCCAGCGTTTGTGCAGGCAACAAGGTATTTTCATGTACTGAAGTTGCTGCCCAATATATTTGGAATGATTGAGGATTTTGTCCTTGGGGTTTTAATAGAAAGTAACTTGTGCTTGGGTAGTAAATCGTGCTTTAAGGTTCCAAAGAGATTTAAGATTCAAGACCATCGTTGCAGTAAAATAAATTGTGCTCTCTGCTTTGGGGTTTCAGTAGATAAATTTGCCACTTGAAGCATAAGGATCCCATTTTTACAGGGGAAAGTAACTACTATACCAACACTTCTAGTTAATAATCTATCAGATTTAATATGTTAAATTGAACCAATTTGTTCATTCTCATTAACTGTATCAGATTTGCTAATGTAAAATTTTATCCTTATTCAATTGCGCATTTGATGATGTTGTTTTCGGCTCAAAATTGAAAACTTAAAATGAGGTGATATGGGCCTTTGGAAGAATGAAATTGTGGAAGAGTATTTAACTGTGTGAATGTGGGAATTCTCTTAGTGCAGATAATCCACATCAATATGTTTTTCATGAAAATGAAAATATCTTGTAGGTTTTATTTTTAGTTATGAGATCATATCTAACTTTTTCAAGCCCATTCAACTAGTTATCTCGCTTGGCTTTCATTGTGATCCTTCTAACTCTGGCATGGATTTCTCATATTCCATTCCATAAAGTACTTATTTTGTTGATTCTTTGTTACAGTGGAAAAGTCATCCGATGCTTTGTTCCCATTGACAAGATTCTAAAACCTGTTTTATTAGAATGTGTGACTCCAGTGACTTGTTACTGGACTCTATCCTTGATTGTTCGTGAAGAATCAGAAATGGTGTTAGTTTTCAAGGTAAACTCAAATTTTGGTTTGCACTCAAAAACAACTGCTATTTTTTGGTTGGCTAAATGTATGTAGAGTTAACGGTCACCTAATAAAGCATTTAACTAGGATACAATTAGATAGTTGTTTTATATATTTTTTTAAATATTTTTTAAGTACTAACGAAGAATCACCAATTTGTTTGCTAGAACTTGCGACCGCCTGTTAAAATGCTGGTCCATGTCTGGAAGGCTTTGTGTGCGGCAACAGATAATAAAGAAGAGACTTGTACACATACAGAGTGAGTTGGATAGCCATGAGTTCCTAATAGTTTTAGAATTCACATGAAACAATGGTCATTATAACCACATACTAGTTCATTACTCACTGATATGATCTCAAGTTGATAGTTTGGGATAGGACTGCTAGAGCAAGTGCCTTCCCATTTCCACTATCATCAAGTCTGAATTGAATCTGTGCTATATGTAATTAAGAAAAATGTAACAAGGCCTTGAAAATTGGCATAGAAAATCAGCAGAAGCATAGAAGTTTAAGAAACAATGTTAAAACCATTCATTGTCTCTGCAGTTTAATCTTCATTATAATATATGATCAATTATTTTTATGTTGTTTTAAAGGGTGCTGTTTATTTTATTTCTTTTGATTTTTTTGTTGTTATTAATCAATTGTTGTACCCATCACCACATTTTCTAGTTTGCTACTTAACAAAAAATTTCTGTAGTAACTAATGTTATTTTTAGATTTGAGTAACTCAAAGTTGAGTTCCTGATAATTTGTGTCACTAAGAGGACCTGGATAGAATAAAAGTAAATTAAATTAGAATAAAAATTTGAATGTGAATCAAACTAAATCAAGTCAAAAGTGATTTGAACTATGAATATTTAGTTGTCCATACAACTATTAACCGCCTTCTTTAAGCTGCGTAGATATCTATTGATGCCCAACTTGCTAGAAATTCAAAATTGGGCTTAAACAATCATTTTCTAAGGGTATCGACAATTTGTTGCCAAGTAAAAATGAAATTAACCGACCATTTTCACACTTAAAACCTCACACCTAGTATATTAAAAAATTAGACGTGTATTTGTCTTTGACTTTAGATACATTATATTTTTGAAATTTATAGATCATAACTAAAAAATTTATAGATCATAACTAAATCATCCCTAAGAAAACACATTAAACACTTTCAAACAAATGAAAAAAAGAAGAAAACAAAACAAAACATTGCCTTTCAAACAAATGAAAAAAGAAGAAAACAAAACAAAACATTGCCTTTCAAAAATATTTTTATGAGCAAAAAGTAAAAATGAAAGAAAGAGAGCGCAATTGAATGAAAAATTTATTTATTGATGATAAGTTTTGCTTTAAAAGCAAAAAGCCCTACAATGAGGAATAAATCTAAATAAGCCAATAATTTGTGTGAGCAATCATTTTTGTTTAAGTATGATCAGTGCCTTTTAATGTGGCCCAGTGTTTTGCCTTTATTCATATTGGACATTACTACTAAGTGCTTTACTTTCCCGTTATGCTCATTAATATCGACACATTGAAGGATGACACATCATTGGGATGGGCACTAAATCCTTAAGAGCGTTGAACAATTTAGGAGACTTGGATTACTTTGCGCATTAAATGATGTGAATAAACGGGATGGGCACTAAATCGTGATAATATCAGAGCCTCATCTTACAGCCACCATAAAACAGTTATGATGTTCTCAACGTCCGCTTGATATTACCCAAGCGGACATTATTCTAGGTACCATACCTTGTCGAATACTTTAACGTGCAAATATGGTGGGTCATCACGATTACACTTCTCCTCCAACAACAAATATGGTGGGTTTTAACGCGCAAAATAATATAAAACATTAAGAAACGAGCACGGAATATATTGTCGATTCTCAATTAAATTAACGTGTATACTCAATACATGATCTAACCCAAGTGGCTGTAAAATGAGATATGAACCTTGCAATGTAGTTCAATCTCCTCAGTGATTAAAAAGTTTTAAATTTAAGCTTGCAGAGGTCAGTGATTTTGACCTACTTTCCATAAAGTTTGACCTAGCGTGCTCGTCTTACCTCTCGACAAATTTTCAGTCACTTTTAATCGGTCTGGGCCTTTTTACCGCTCCGGGTCAATTTCCAAGTTTGACAAGATGTTTTATTTCTCGGAGTCATTTATTCCATGCAAATCATTTGGATGAAATCGATTTAATTTTTCAGACATCTTTGTCGCCCGATTTCTATTCATTTTTCACCTAATTTATTTTTATATTTTCATAAAAATGTCTGGAATAATTAATTAGAATTTTCATGCTTTCATTTTATTTTTTATCATGTCTATTTAATAAGTTGTGAATTTTAGTGGTTTTTAATTGATTTAATTCTATTAAATTAATTATGGCTTCTAGAAAGGGCAACTTTGATATTTTAAATTAAGTGTGTTCCTTTAATTAAATATGGGTTGTTAGATTTAAATTTAATCAAGGATGGACATGCATTATCTTCACTTTTCCTTATTAGCCAATCATATTTTAGCATTTTATTTTATTTTTTTAATTGATAAAAATATCAAAAAAAAAAAATTTTTTATTCATATCATTAAGACACTTGTCCAACTTCAATTGAGTGGTTTTAAAAATTTGTGTCACTTTGTCTTATTATAGGATGACACTTGGCTTGAGGGTTTGGCAATAAGATTTTAAATAATAAAAGTAACTATTGTCAAGATGGGCACTCGCGTGCCCGTCTGTCCGCTTTTTTAATGTACACACGTAAAAATTTAAATGATATTTTTTATTTTATATTAATTTTAAATAGAAGTTAAGTAAGAAGTTAGGTAGGGAGTTGTGTAAAAAGTTAATAAAAGTTATTGAGTAAGTTATACATTAAATAAGGGTAAAATTGGTAGAAAAATATGTTACACCAAAACACAATGTTTTCCCATTATATAGACTAGCGTTCAGACGGGCACTCGTGTGCCCGTCTGTCGCGAGTGTCCGTCTGTCCGCTTTTTATAATAATCATGCGCGTAAAATATAATTTAGCATTTTTATTTATTATTTATTTTATTATTTCTTATTTATAAAATAGTAGTAATAGATAATGGTGTAAAAGTTAATAAACCGTCACATAACCATCATTTATTAAAAAGAGAAGTTAAAATTTAAAATAAAAATAAAAAAAGATATATTCAAAAAGAAAAAAGGCTACATCAAAATCCATCATGTTTTCAAAGGCTATTAAATATCATACGTGTTTTGAAAACTCTGATGTATTTTCTTTAATATTTCATAGATACCCATAGATACACACAAAACACAATATTTATGATATCCATGTCTTTTATTAAAGAGGAATTGTTTTGATCGAAAGTATGCAACGTCAATATAGGTGGTAATCACCTACATCATAACATAATAATAGTAACCGCCAAAATATCAATGTGGATATTATTTAATGCATATGGTTAATAATCCATTATGGGTACCCATTATGAATCTCAATGGATTATAAATATAGTGGTGCATTAATTCATATTGGACATTTTTAATGGGAATAATAGGAAATATTTGACCTAGCCTTTATAATAGATATAGTTGTCTTTATATTTATGATCTAATTATAAATAAAAATATGTTTTGAAGGGTATCTATTATGCTCTAACCTAGGTTTATTTTATCTTTCTTAACAATCAAATAAGCAAGCATAAAAGACAACTAATCTATTACATTGTAAATGGGGAGAGGGAAACATAGTATCCACCAAGAGGGGAGATGATATATGATATATGAAAGGTATGAGTAAGAGTGTACAAAGATACACTAAAAGAGAAATATCAAAATAAGACAAAAGGTCAAAATCATCAAGATAATCACTATGCCAAAAAAGACCTTTAGCAGCGCTTTTTTTTGCCTTTAGCAGCGCTTTTTTTTTTTTTTGCCTTTAGCAGCGCTTTTTTCACCCTATAACAGCGCTTTCATAACCGCTGCCTAATCCCCCTTCATCTCCCCCCTTTAGCAGCGCTTTTTAAAAGTGCTTTCTTAGACCCCCCCCTTTAGCAGCGCTTTTTTAAAGCGCTGTCTTAGACCCCCCCCCCCCCTTTAGCAGCACTTTTTTAAAGCGCTTTCTTAGACCCTCATTTTCCAACCTATAGCAACGCTTTTTTATGCCTCTTTTTGCCCCTTTAGCAGCACTTTTTTTAAAAGTGCTGTCTATTCTTCACGATTTTGAATTTTTTTTTTAAAATAATCACATTTTTTTATATATTTTTCAATAAACCTGCTTATAACAAATACATTCCCGGCTTATAATTCAGGTCTTTAGTTCAACAATTTGGCCTTATATATAACAATTATTTTGGCCTTATTTTTGTGTATTCATCAATTTGCAATATTATACACAATAACTAAAGTATACATTATAATTCATCACTTTGAAATATTATACACATAAACCTGCTTAAATATATTACAACACAGTCCGATCCTCGGAACAAAATCACATATACAATCAATTCACATATAATTACAAATCTGATAACTTTACAAATAGATACAATATCAGATGTCACATTAGGAAGAAATAAACTTAACAATCTTTACTTGACTATTGAATTCTGTATGAGACTGCATGGAGTTCACTATCAGCCACAAATACACGGTTTTCTTCAAGCTTTGTATCATTATTCAATTGAATGTCTTCCAAGCTTAATTCAATAGAACATGATTCATCTTAACAACAGCACAAGCAAAAACAATAATAGATAAGTAACAATACACTTGAACAGACCCATGTAGATCATTAAGTACTAGATTTCTATGAAATTTTCAGTTCTTATCATTATTTGAAGTTTCTGTTAATCAGATTAATAATTAAATATGTATTTATAGAATTAATCTTCATTATCATTTACCTTCCAATATATATTTCCTCATGAAGTACCAAAGCAGCCAATACAGTCACAATCACTGTCACAAGAGGGCTAAACAATGCAGAGAAAAGAGGTCCTCTCTGTGTTATGCACCATGCTTGAAGACAAAACATAACCGCTGATCCCATAATTCCCTACAAAATATATTTATTACAAATTATCTAGGATTATGATGTATAAATATTGGTGTGTATCGTCATGAAAAATTACCTCATATAAAGTGGAACCAAATTGAAGTAGAGAATTAATCTTCCATGCATTAAGGTCTGGCTCCAAGAATACTGTCACTACGGCTGATTGTAATGTTGAAATGAAACACATCCAAGCTGATAGTGATAAATAAT